AGGGGGTCGGACTAGATGATCTCCTCAGGTCCCTTCCGACCCTACCAACTATGAAACTGCCCTGTGATTACAAATGCATTTTCTTACCTTGTCCTCAGACTTATAAAAGACCTTATGCGGAGACCCCAAGGTGCTCAAAACATCCTGGCACGAATCACCAAAATACACACAGCGTTCAAATACCCGCATCTTAGCATCAGCTAGTACACCTGGGCCACAACCTGGAGAAAATGAAAGAGTCTCATGTTAATAACGCAAATCTAATTCTTCACTTCTGGCTGTTTATTTATTAAAAAAGTCTCAAATCTAGGTGATATTACTGCTGACTGTGACATAGGCCCATACCTTAATAGTCAAGTTTAGCAATGCTTTCTCTTGGAAAGCATATTAAGATGCATATTTCTGTGCCTCTTCTCATTTCACAAGATGTAATTTACTCATTTTCACAGTCAAATCCAAATTTGATCAGCTGATATCATCTTCAACTGCCAAGAATTAGTTCTCTCCTTAAAAAGGCTAAATTGCAGTAACTGAAGTATTTTAAAAACTATAACACAACATGTTGCTATCTGAAGAGTCAAAAAGTAGAAACCATGGATCAAAATTCTTCGTCCGCTCTACGTTAGGAAGCATACAGTGATATTTTTATGGATTCCTATATTTTGTGGAACATGCAGCAAATGCATTCATATATACACAAGCCTTATTAAAAACAACAATGAATTTCTAATGCATAGATGCATAGTTGAAACATATTATTTATAAGACAAATCACTGTAAGTAACATCCCATTACTAATTATCTGTAAGCCCTGTATTCAAACTGTTTGCCAAGCAAAAGTTGCCATTTTAATCCAAAAATCAGGTTAACAAATAAAGAAATTACTTCCTTTTATATCTGAAGCATCACTGAAGGGTATTACACACTGAATGATTAAGTTTTCAGTTTGGCTTGCTGCTGGTTAGGTAGAGATTGTCAATTTAAAAAAGCCAAATTCACTGCATTTCACCAACAATGGCTTCAACACTATTCACAGAATTCTGGATATTGAACTCTGAGAAGCCATCTAAATTTCTAATCTTTCATGGCCAAAGACCATTTAACTGCTACATACAGACAAGTAGCAGAGCCTCAAATACAATGGGCTACACCCTACCAGGGCCTTTCACCCGCGTTAACACAATAGGTTACTTTTATCACCATTTTTCTGTACCTGGCTGTAAGTCACTCAAACAGGTCTCACTGCTCTACATGGGGACCTCCCATGTGTAATCGCTTTACCATGATGTCGTGGGTGCAGTGTGAAATTCTCACTACTAAAAAGCATGCCCATGAGTAATTAGCTTCCAATTTGGGAGGTGCTATCTGTAGAGTAGCACAGTGTTTTAACACCCAGCTGCTTGGATCAATAAGTTTGCAATGAAGACATGCTCACAGAAAGATAAACCCTACATTTCTTCGGCCCATTAGGCATACCCTGAGTGTCTAGCTACTGACTGGGTCACCATAGGTCTCCTGGCTTCTTCAAGGGTTGAGAGAGGGTCTACTTAGTTGTCATTTTAAAATTTATGCTTTCCAAAAGCCAAAGGAAAATGACATTTTCCTTACCACCTAACAGTGCTCTCAGCATAATTGAGAAGGCTCTCCTAGTAGTCAAGAAAAGATATTCAAGCTCTATTTCAGGGGTGGGCAATTACTTTGGGCGGAGGGCCGCTTACTGAGTTTTGGCAAGCCATTGAAGGCCACATGATAGGCAGCCAGGGGCAGATACATATTAATTTTCTAAATTTTTAGGGGCCCTGCAGGCTGGATAGAATGGCCTGGTGAGCCGCATCCAGCCCCCAGGCCATGTTTTGCCCACCCCTGCTCCATCTCCTGGTCCAATAGCTAGTACTTCTCTCTCTCAACTATAACAAAACTGGAATGACCCACTCTTCCTCCCATCCCCAATCTCCTTAAGGCAGTTTTAACTTAAAAAAAAAAAAATCAAGATGCATACAGAGAAGTTAATTCTAGAAAGGTTGTGGAATCTATTCCCTAAAGGTGCTAAGTTGAACAAGGAAATAATGGCCTATTGCAAGCCTGTCCTGCAAATTTTAGAAGTTTGACAATTCATGTAAAATAAATAATAAAATATTAACATTGTAATAAATGTTTCCTTTAAAACTCAGGCATGTATTTCATCTAGATTCGACACTCTACCTTAGAAGTGACCAATTTTTCAAAATAATTTACATTATCAGGATAATATAGCTAACTCCTTCCCTAATACATCAGGATATATGATCCCTGTCCTAGGCAGCTTTCCATTATCTTCCTCTGTAAAGACAGAAGCAAAGTAACTTTAACAAATCTGCTATATTTTTTATTCATTGGTTTTTATTTCTTACCTTATTTTTTTCCATCTTTTGTATATTGGGAATACATTTTAAAGAGTTTCTTCAACATAAATATGCTTGAAAAGTTCTTAAGGAAAAAAACCCAGGATCTGCTATTCAAAAGAATTTTGAGTAAACTGACTACACTGCTTGACAATATTTTAAATTCTTTTAAAAGGGGAATTACTGGCAAGCATCTTTCTGCAGCAATATATTTTTCCTTTAAAGTTAGGTAAGACTTTAAAGAGATATGTGGGAAAGTAACCAAACAGTCTGTCACTCACAATGCTGTTTCCAAATACAGAGAGGCAAGGATTTTTAGTAATAACTTCTATTGGACCAAAAGTATAGTTGGGAGATGGAAGCATGGAGAAAGAAGCAACACCTCTCTGAACTGTACAGCTGGTTCAATAAAAGACATTACTAAAAATCCTTGCTTCATCTACATTTCCTGGACCATCACAGCAACACCACTCTCAGCCTACTCCAAAGCAGAACTGTTTACCACTGAATTCAATTTAGAATGCTAGGTTTAAGACAGCATTGTAAGGTGCATTTCTTACACATCTTTGAGGATTCATCATTAAAACTTAAGCATCTCACAGCTGGGTTCGGTGCACAGAACAATGAGTGCCTAGCAGAAGTTTCTTTGTTTCCTGGGATGTATCTGCATTTTCCCCATAGCTACTCAAAGAAATAAAATCTATTACCATCAAGAGACACCATGAACTAGGAACTATAAAAACACAAGTATTCCTGAAATTCAACAGCCACCTGTGATCATCCAGAGGTACGGATACATAGCAGAAGTAGGTTCTTTTTTTATACAATGGCTTATATTTTAAAATAAAAACAAAACACTTTTGAAACATTCCCAGGAAACATAATAAATGACCTATACATGATTTAGTCAAATTTGTCCTTTTCCCGACCTAAGGGCAACTCAACACCTGTCTTCAGTAATACCTGCAGTGAGTAAGCGGAGCCGTAAACCTGAGGGTCCAGTCCCATCTCTCAGAACGTCAACATTCTCTGCATACACATTACCAAGGAAACAGCTGAGTGGCATCATGGGAGCCCTGAAACAGATAAGATGTACCAAAAAAATACCCAGGATAGGCCCAAGCTTAGAACTGTCTGTTAATTTTGAGAGAAGCAAATACAATATACAGAACTGATATGGGAGCACCTACACTCCCCTGAATGAAAAAAGAGGAAAACTAATTTTTGAAACTGATAAGTCAGCTGAGAAAAGTTGATACTATTGAACAAAGTTGTTACACAGCAAAAAGAATAAACATGCAGTGTGAAAGAAAGACAGGGTCTTTTATCATGAAAATGAATGTGTTGCTAGTCTCTGGAAGTTACACACCTGCATCTAGAGTTCAGACTTTATACACCTCTTGGAACATGTTTCAGAGTCCTTGGTTTAAAATTCGTTCGCATGAAAATGAGGGAAATACAATACTTATATCTATTTAATTCAAAGCAATCCTGACATGGTCTGCTTGCAGTCTTTCAGTTATAATCATCATCTTGAGTATAATATTAATAGTAATGGATAAGGATTTTTCAGGTGGCTTCTTTCTGTTGAGTGTCCCTTTCCAGAGAGCTTGTGCATCTCACTTAAAATCTTTTCCCATGTATCCAAAGTTTTTCTTTACCCAAATGACAATTATTTGCCCTCTGAGCTAAGCTTTTGAACAGACTCACACACTGAAGAATCCAATAGGATACTATTAAATGCATTACATTAAAATGCACCATGCTACAGAGGGATATAAGCGACATTTTCTAAAATAGCATATAATCATTACAGTGTATCCCTCTTGCTCATTAATCCATTGGCATGTTATTTTGACAGTTACTCACAATCCTTCCAATAACAAAATCCTGACGTAAGTCTTTGCATTTAGAATGGAAAAGGAACAAATTACGAGAAGTGTCAAATTTTGATTGAAGAGTCCTCAGAGTCATTGTTTTAGAAATAATGAACCTCCAATTAATTGTATAATATAACGTTTATTATGAGATTGAATGAAGCTGATGTTTGAAAGGTGTTTTACTCAAATTTAATAATTCATCTAACTGGTATTAGGACACAAGGATATATTCCCCCATTGTGAAAGGATACGAGCTACTCCAACCCATAGTCATACAAGTTGAATGCTTACGTTCCCTAGATGACAGTGGGACAGAAGTATACCAAAGAATACATGCATCATACACTATACGAGCATATAAGTTACTATGTTATGAATCATTTGCATTATTGTAGATCCTAAGGGCTTAATCAAGGTCCCATCATACTAAACACTACATAAGGTCTAACACAAACAACAGTCCCCTGCTCAGCATGATTTGGCTAAGCACATGTCATTAGCGTAGAAACAAACTGTATGAGTGCACAGACTTCTACACATATATCTTGCATCCTCATGTCTTGTAATCAAGTGAGATTGAAGGAAACTGTTTTCCACCAAATTCTCCTCAAACCATGGATTTAATTTTGATCTCAGTTATTTAGAATAGTGCAACAGGCCCCCAATTTCTACCAATGCAAATACAAAAAAAATTTCAGTCTCAAATCTCATCTTGGATAATTTTGTCTGCATGCAACCTGTGGACATATCTGAAGATGATTTACTAAAAATGATATATTTGCTGGTATCCAAAATAAGGAACAAATGGTACTAGCCAATTAATTTCATATATATTTATCATTCATTCAAGTCTAAATAAAATGTGAGAGAGAAAAATCAGATTTCTTAAATTTGTTCTAACAACCCTCCATGATCCAACTATATACATACTTTGTATCTTGCAGACTGTTTCCACTGTAGATGTACATACGTTTCACAGTTGCACCATGGGGAATTTGTAGAGAAGCAAGGCCATGGGCAAAGTTAGGCTGTGGATATACAAAATGATTCTCACTGACTGTATCGTATACTACATAAGTGCAAAACCACTTCAGTTCAAAATCCTGCACCAGAAACAACTGTATTCATAAGCATGTACTGTAAACCTCAAGGATTAAACTGAAATTATGCCTACTACAAAAGTGAAAACGAGCCACAAGACAATAACAGCTTGCACTATAGCATTTGTTGATTCTTCTTCAATTCTATTATCTGTCAAAAATGGCAGCAGTCTTTCAGTTGGCCTTACAGGGACCCACAAATTAAAATGTTCTTGATTAAGTCTGTAGTCTGTGATTAGCATCTTAAGTCTGTCATCTCTTAAAAGCATTTGCACTGGTATGCTACATTACATATAGTACTAGTAAACAACAAAATGAGATCTAAAACTGAAGGTGTCAGTTATCTTTTGTTATGTTACTCACACCAGCTTTGTAATACCTCAATAAATCCCCCCAAAATTATAATTAATATTTCTTCCTCTGTTGGTCTGAAAAACATGTTTTGATGTACCCCTTCACTTATCTATAGTGTTTCAATATTTCCCTCTCTCCAACAGTCTGCTTCAGTGTTCTTTTATATATAGTTTTACAATGATTTGAAAACCTCTCCAATGGTGCTTGTAATTTGTTACCCAGTAAGTTTCAAAAGCTCAGTGTTCTTCATAGAAATGTGATGCGATGTCATAGTTTCTCTAGTCTTAAGAAAACAACTTTGACATAAGAAAATGTAACCACTTCCTTAGTCCCTCTCCCAGGACACTTCTGTGAGAGACTGCATTCTCCGCCTCTCCCACTCCCTCCCCATGTTGACCATTTTATCCTATTCTTTGTTTTCTATGTCTACATGAATTTATAATCTACAGAAGATCTTTGCCTCTTATACTAAAAACTTAATTTCTCCAATAATTTCTTGAAGGTAACCAGATGCTTTGAACATGATGTGTCAATGTTATCAGCTATTTTGGACACTGTCAAAGAACTGTAATTGCACAGAGAAGCACCACTTGCCTCTCTTGAGTCACAGAAGTTTTGGAACTATCCAGGATTACTATATTAGTCAAAATGTGTAACTCATAAAGCACCAGGCTCCTAATATAGTGAGGACACATGCCCTTTTGCTAATTAACTAATTTGACTTACTTCCACTCTTAGTTCTATTGCTCTTTATCATCTTGGAATCTAGTATTTCACTATATACAATTATCTTTACTTGATAAGAATGCGTAACACACTAGGGTTCATTTCTGTAAGTTATAGATAATATTTCCATTAATGTTAATGGGAATTGCAGTCCACCTGATCTTACATTCAGTGGAAATATTTGGAGCATGATATTTGTTACAGGTTTCAATGGGTACGGAAGCTTACCCACTTAAGTATTTAGTAACATCAGAATATTTCGTAATTAAGGACATATGAACAACATACCAAACATTTATTTTGGCTTCCCAACTCACATAAGAGCAGTCTTTTAAAATGCAACTGTGTAAAATACACCTGTGAAATTTAGCTTTGAAAGAATTTGAAACAGAATTGAGAAAAGGACAGACACATATCTTTTGATATTAAAGCAAAAGCAAGACTTGTTTACCTAAAACATTTTTAAATACTAATGGAGAAGTCACAGTTAAGAGACAAATTTCTGAGATTTCTCTCAATAATGGAACTGCCATTCCCACTTGGCAATAAAAGTAAAACAATATTCAGCTAAAAGCCAGGCATAAACTTTTGATTTGGAAAACATTCAGGATTTAAATTCTACTCAAATGAATGGTTTGTTTTGCTTGAAAAGTGAGGCAGGCCTATAGGCAATATTTTGCAAATGTTAGAGAAAAAAAAAACAACAGAGACCATGTATTAACTAGGAAAAATTCCTGACCTCATACTTTGGAGTTTCAGTCCATGAGTCTAACTGAAAGGAAAACGAAAGTCCTCTGAAATTGAGGTGAAAAAGTTGTTCAGCTGAGTTGTACACTGCAGGAGGGGGAGAAAAAAAACCCAAAAGGAGTTATGAAATGGTACAGTTCAGACCTAACAGCACTTTAAATTGCCTCATTTGCTTCTTGGCCACCACCTCTACCTCAGTAAAATGTGATGACATTTAAGAAAAATGATGTAGAATGCCAAGATGTCTTATCACAATAAACAAATTAAAAATGAAATTAGGGATGTAAACACCAATTTAAAAATATCCATTTAATCTGTTGTAATTACAATGGTTAAACAATTAATCAGTATAGCAACCCCTGGCCTGGACCATGTGAGGCTGCTCCAGCCTGGCCTATGGGGCGCCCTGTCCAGCCTGGCACCAGTAGGGCATTTCCAGCCCCTCCAAGGTGCAGTGGGGACTCAGCAACTCCCCAGGGCTGTGCCTCATAATGAGCCAGGCAGGCCCTCCGAGTCCAGGCCTGGGTGCAGACAGGGAAGGCGAATGGGTGCACTGCAGGGTTGAGCCGCAGGCCTGGGGGAGCCATCCCATGTCCACCTTACACCTGCCAGGCTCTGACTTCCGTACTCCCCATGCTCTTTGTGGACAGCAGAGTAGGGGGCAAACATGAGGGGGGTGGAACTAGTACATAATAGTGATGCTCTGTGGACCCTGATGCAACTGCCTGTAGCCTTTCCACTGCCTGCTGCAAGCAGCCCGGATGCCGTGGCAGGAGGCAGGAGCCTGCCCAGAGCCTGGGCTATTTGCAGCAGAAAGCGGGGAGTCTGCAAGCAGTTGCACCAGGGTCCACAAACCCTAACTATTAGATACTAGTCACCCACCTCCCCCTCCTCCTTCCTTCCTGCCTGCCCTACTGCCTTCTGGTTCCTGCTGGGGCACCACACGGCTTGCCTTCTCCCCCTTCCCTGCTGGACTACACCCTGCCCTGCACTAAACGATAACCAGTAAGCTATAACTAGTTATCACCGGTTATCAATTAGTCATTTAACTGTTCACTTCCCTAAATGAAATACCTCAAAATTAGGGAAAGGGAAATAATAATAATAATAATAAAAAATCATACAGGATGCCTTAAATCTACCTATTTAGCCATTTAAAAAAAATCTATCTATCTAAGCCTCACTAATTTATCATTAACAATACAATTACATTTCAGCATCATTGAAATAACTAAATCAGCAGAAGCTACCAAGCAACCTCTTTTCTGTCCCTTTACCATTATGGGACGCATGCCCTCAGCCTTTTTAAAAACAATGTACCTAGCTGGCATAGCCGCTTAAATGTCACCAAATTCAGTACTTTGAGCCAGAAGGACTGCAACATCCAGGGTCCTACAGCTTAGGGAACATTCCACCCAAAGACGTATCTAACACGAGGGCCCCAGCTAGCCCTGCAACAGCAGAATGGCACAGGGATGCAACGCTCACATGTGCTAATTCCAGCCTGTTTAGGTCTTGTCACTAGAAACAAGTCTACTAGTCAGTTTGCAAAGGTCATGACTAAATTTGGAATACAAAAAGTTGACTGTCATCACATGACATTTAATGTTTTAATTTACTTCAAAGAATTGCATAATACAAGCGGCAATGAAAGACCCCTAAGAATTTACTCTAACAAGACAGACTGTCTTCTGAGGTTTGCAGAATTAAACACTAAGGCAGCTCAGCAGCACAGAAACCATTTTGACAATGCTGCTATCAAGCTTCAGTCTGTTACTGCTATTGGCTGGGTAGAACAGAGCATACAGAAATTGTTCTTTTTATACACTGTACCCACTATATCTGCAAAAGAAGTCAGTAGACAATAACAGCAAAAAATGGAGGGAGGGAAAGGGAGAGACTTAAAGCAAAGTTTTTCCCCTTCATCCCATTTACTGAAGATGGAGGCTTCATTTTTTTTTTGATTTCACACTTAAGATCATAAAACAGTTTGGTATTCTTTTACAAACTACAATTCTGCGTGCATTATGAACCATGTTTGAGTTTCTCAGCTGCAAAATGGGTCACCAGTTCAGACAATGCTGAGGAGGAAAAGAAAGGTGTATATCATGGCACTGGGACACGCACTTGAGCGCACTAATATCAAGGTAAGGCAATTCAGCCTGGTCACTTGCAAACTTTTTACAGAGAGGTCTGCCTGGTTTCCAGTCATTGGTTAAGAGCAACACCTTAATGATTAACTTGTTCAGAAAGGTGTGAGATTTTGTAAGCTACAGTCTACTTCATCAGCTGCTATATACAAGAACTTTGATTAGACAGATAAGCTTAACCAACAGACAAAAAAAAACTCTGATACAGTGGAAAACAGATCATTTTAAGCTTCCAAAAGATCATTATTTGCATTTGCTGCAGATTGGCTTTGAATCAGATCACACATTCTTAAATTTGTTCCCTCCTCATCCTCTCTTTCAGGGGGCTCTCATCACTGAAAAGTGATTGTGCATGCAAACCCCCCCCCCAATTGTTTTGATTAACAGGAAAATTACTCAGATCACCTACATGCAATGAACATACAATGCATCTTTTCCAGAGCCTGTAGCCAGCTGGAGAAGTTTTGCTCTGACCCCTTATAACAAACACAGTATCTCATTAGGCAAATTACATCAGTTCTCATTTATTACAAATGTTTCTTAATATTTAGGTATAAAAGGCAACAAACGTTCTTCTTTCAAGGGAAATCTTTCACATTCCTCTCAAGATCCAAATTGTTCAGCTTTGTTTCATGAAAAGAGTCAGTGAGAGAAAATTCCATTGATTCTGAGATAAAACAACTTTTCATTTTGAAATGTTAAAAGAAGACTGAAGTCAAAAGAGAATACCCTTGATAATCGGACATGGAATTTGTTTGTTTTTTGTTTTGATTTGCCAAAATATATTCCCAATTTGGGGTAAAGTTTTTGAATCCTCAAAGTGGTTCTTACTAGGCTCCATGAAGTGTATTTATTGAAGGAGGAAAGTATAAATATGCATTAAACCTGCACTGCATGATAAAATTCAGTCACATTTTAGTGAAAACCATGACAGATACTAGCAGGAACACTTGTACCTTTTAAAGGAAGAAGTTTTTGTACGTGAGAAAATGTATTTTCTATAGTGAATTAAGACATCATGACAATTAGAATCAGATAAGCAAACTAGTGCAGATTTTTAATTTGGATACAATGAGCATATAGAATCTGGGGTAGCTACAACTCAAGAAGTCATGCTGTTCTACTACTTCTAGTAAAACTGTATGTGTATCAATTTACATGGTTATAAAGAATGCTAGTTATCAAATAAACAAGTCTTATAGCTGTAAACATATTTTTATGGTTCAAATATCAATTCATAGCTTTATGAGCTTTTCTTCCCTTACACATTTCCAAATAAACCAGTCATATCTTTAAGTTTACTTGATCTAAATAAGGAAGTCAAGGACATTCACATATCCCAATCTGATATCCAATTGCTATAGCTATAGCAATGTCTCCCCCAACCTGCATTATTTTAACCATAAAATAGTGCAGGGCTATCTGTATCACTTAGTCCCTGTAACTGGTTGCTTAAGATACTGTCTACAGAAAATTAATGCGGCAAGAAATCCCCTCAATAACATAGGAGACACTGGTCTATATGAGACCAGCCTGAAGGACTCCAAATGAATTTAGCTGAGGTAACAGACAGGAGAATAGATGCTTTAAAAGGGACATTTTGCCTACTTTAAATGAAGCTCTTCCCCCTGGTTATAGGCTGGTATTACTTCAGTCTTATGCCTAAATTTGTGCAGAAGGCTTGGGGACAACACAACAGGTCATTCAATTCTAGTTACCCTTTATCCTGAAAGGCGCATTTCTGTTCATTATCTATACACACTTTAAGTAACTTAATAAAGCTGCAACCTACCTCCTGGATGTGTTGCTCCAAATGACTGATCAATCTGCTCTATGGTTGGAGCAATTGCCTGAGAGTTAAAATGGACACCACTGAAAAAGAAATAGAAAACAAATGAAACACTGTTGAAGAGCAAGCTATTTAGGGGGTACATTACTTAAAATGATTAAGTTGCACTAAGTCAGGGGTTGGTAACCCCCAGCAGATGTGCCACAACATAGCATGCAAGGTCATTTGCTTAGTATGCAACAGGCAGCCTTGGGCTCTGGGCAGCTGCTGCTGGTCAGAGCCTGGGCTACTTGCAGCAGATGGCCAGGAGGCTGCAAGCAGCCCAGACTGGCTACATCCGGGAGGCTGCAAACAGCTGCACAAGGCTCCAGAGCCACGGCCTGGTCTGCAACCCAGACCCCTCCCCAGCCATCCACCCAGAAATGAGTGTACAGCCACGCCACCACCCAAACCACACCAAGGGCACTGGTGGTGAAGCTGTTTGCAGCCTGCCAGTCACAGGCAAGTGGCAGGCTACAAAACAGCTGAACCATGCTCTGGAGCCCTCAGCTGGGCTCTCTGGCAGCACAGCTGCACATGCGACTCTGGGTAAACAGTGTAGGAGGGGCCGAGGTTGCGCACTGTACATGAGGGACGTGCTGCATTCACCCGTTCTCCCCTACAAGCTCCCTGAGTGTCACCTTCCAAACCACCTCTATTTTAGGGACCCCCAGCAGTCCATAATCAAACGTGCAGTTGGATCCTGTAGGTCTGCTAACGAGATGTCAGAGGTTCTTTGAGTCTCCCCTTTCCCCCCATTTTGGCTTTTTCAACTTAAAACAATTTTGCAGAAACTTTGCTTTCTTCATGCAACTTAATATTATTTCAATCTGCACACAAGGTTTTTAATGTACTTCGTGGTGTAACTGAGACCGTATTCTATTAAAAATGCTTTAGGCATAGGGATGTTGCATACAGCTGTTTAACAAATACAGTAAAAGCTGCATTATCCGGCACCTTACAAGCCAGCACGCTCTATTAACTGGCATGCTGGCTTGTAAGGTAAAACCAAAACCGGAAGTGCCCACCAGGGCACTTCTGGTTTTGCTGAGCCCCCACGGCCCGGGGCAAATCAGCCTGAGTTGCCGAGTCCCCAAGGCCCGAGGCAAAGCAACCTGAGCAAGGCCCGCCTCCCTGTCCCTCAGGGCCTGCGGGGCCCACAGAAGGGGCAGCAGCCTGAACAGGCAAAGACTCCTGTTCAGGCCTCTCAGTTAACCGTTGTATTTTGTTATCTGGTACCCCTCATTCCCTGTGGGTGCCAGATAACAAAGCATTTGCTATAATACTACCATTACAAGGGAAAAAAATAGGAAACTGATCATTTTTACAAATGACTTTTTGAAGTTATCTGAATTCTTCTCCATCTGTTAAACTACTGAGAGCAAAAACAAGTAAATCACATTCCCAGCTAAGCAAAACAAATATTTTATTCCTCATGCTTACAATAGAAAGAACAGGCACAGCTAACTCATTCAAACCAATCTTATGGATGTAGTGAGCAGGTTTGTTATTACCCTGAAATAGAATAGTTTTCTGATAAGCATACTGTTAGGTTTACAATAATTTAGATTATTAGGAAGTATTAGCTTTACAGCTGAATACAAGGCATGACCTGTGGCCTAGCAATGCAGCTGACCACAAGGCAGATTGATAGCTAAGCCTTTGCTTGTGTCAAGTAATCATTTTAACTGTATTAAGCATTTTCTGAGTTAAAAGCAGCAAGTATCTCTGTGTCTGTGTGCTGAAAAATCAGCTACAGCAAGAAGTAAGATAAGACAGGGAAACCATTGTTCTGGGTGCACTGGTTGTGTCCTTGAAAAGTATCTACTACTGTGTAAGGTTTTGCTAACATATTATAATGTTACTGTTACTTAACTTTTAGCTTTAAAAAGTGCTAATTCAGCTTAATAGAAATATGCTGTTACAAAGATTTGAAAAGCACCGCCCAAGTATTGCTTTTTTTTGTTAACCATGAAGTCTTGCCTTGTTGTAATAAGTATAAAAGATCACCTCACCCTTAGGGGGGGGCCATTTTGCCTTTTGCTGGCTTTATGGTCTTTGCTCGAGCAAATAAACAGCTGTCTTTCTTTACCCGCGTTGTCTGTCAATCAAATTACAGCTAGACAACGAACCTTAGGGAGGTTTCTCCCACCACAATTTGGCCGTGCAGCTCATTGTTTTGGGAGGGTGCTGCCAGCAGTAGAGGCAAGAGCTGGCATGACTGGATGTGTTAGCGCTGGAGCAGGCTACGTGGTGATGTGCATCCAGGCAGAAGCTGAGCGTCCGCTGAGCGTGTCAAAGCAGAAAGACCTACTCACCTGTCGCCCGTGGGGCCTTGGCTGCTTCCAAGGGACGGCTGCAGGCCCCGCACACACCTCGGACTGCCCAGAGTGACCCTTGCAGACGCCACACGACACGACACGTCCCGGGGGCCCTTCTGCCCCATGTCCCGCTCCTGTCACGCTGCGGCCCCTCGCTGAGACGCTGGCTCCAAGGACGGGGGCACGAGGAGGAGCCTGCGGGAAAGGGCAGACCCTCGTCAGACACTTTCACGGGAATGAAAACGCACGCACCGCTTACCGCACCGCAGTCGAGGAAATGACGCCCGGGGGCCGGCCCAGCACATTCCCATGAAGAGTGCTGAAATCAATCCCCACACAAAATGACCACTTTCCCACGCAAAAGCCATCACGTGCCGTCAAGAAAGCTTTCCAAATGCCCACGCCATTTCCCTCACACACCACATCCGCGTAGGCCGACTTTTACCCAATCCCCACACAATTTTCCACAGGTCCCGCAACACGCCAGTCGAATCAAAAAGTTCCTAAATCCCCCTACAATATATATACAGATATACGGAGCGGTAGATACATAGAGATTTAGAGAGATGAATCTGGAGGTATATAGAGCTCGACATATGTAGACATGTAGATATATGAAGCTGGAGCTATACAGAGCTGAAGATATACTGAGCTGCATATAGATAGATATACAGCTCTCTATATATGAAGCTGGATCTCTTCAGAGCTCCAGATATTTACACCTGGAGATATTCAGGAAAGTAGATATATAGAGATGTAGATCTATGAAGCTGGAGATGTGCAGAGCTGGAGATATATAGACAGGTAGATACAGAAAGCTGGAGCTATTCAGAGCTGGAGATATTTAGACCTTGAGATATGCAGAGCTGGAGATATTCAGAGAGGTCGATATATAAATAGGTAGAGGTATGAATCTGGAGATATGTAGAGCTGGAGGAATCTAGAGATGTACATATATGAAGCTGGAGATATTCAGAGCTGGAGATATTCAGAGCTGGAGATATTCAGAGCTGGAGATATTCAGAGCTGGAGATATTCAGAGCTGGAGATATTCAGAGCTGGAGATATTCAGAGCTGGAGATATTCAGAGCTGGAGATATTCAGAGCTGGAGATATTCAGAGCTGGAGATATTCAGAGCTGGAGATATTCAGAGCTGGAGATATTCAGAGCTGGAGATATTCAGAGCTGGAGATATTCAGAGCTGGAGATATTCAGAGATGTAGGCAGCTGAATCAGGAGATACCGAGAATTGGACATATATAGAGATGTCTACATAAGAAGCTGGAGTTATTCAAAAATGGAGATATTCAGCGAGGTACAGATATAGAGATGTAGATCTATGAAGCTGGAGATATGAAGAGGTGGAAATATATAGACAGGTAGACACATAAAGCTGGAGATATTCATATCCGGAGAAATGCAGAGCTCAAGATATTGAGAGCTGGAGATATTGATAGCTGGAAGGATTTAGAACAGGAGATATTCAGAGCTGGACATATTCAGAGAAGTCGATATATAGAGATGTCGATATTTCAAGCTGGACATATGCAGAGCTGAAAATAGACAGAGCTGGATATATATATACAGGTGGCTATATGAAGCTGGAGATATTCAGAGAGGTAAATATATAGAGATGTAGATCTATGAAGCTGGAGATATGAAGAGGTGGAAATATATAGACAGGTAGACACATAAAGCTGGAGATATTCATATCCGGAGAAATGCAGAGCTCAAGATATTGAGAGCTGGAGATATTGATAGCTGGAAGGATTTAGAACAGGAGATATTCAGAGCTGGACATATTCAGAGAAGTCGATATATAGAGATGTCGATATTTCAAGCTGGACATATGCAGAGCTGAAAATAGACAGAGCTGGATATATCTATACAGGTGGCTATATGAAGCTGGAGATATTCAGAGAGGTAAATATATAGAGATGTAGATCTATGAAGCTGGAGACGTGCAGAGCTGGAGATATATAGACAGGTAGATACAGAAAGCTGGAGCTATTCAGAGCTGGAGATATTCAGAGCTGAAGATATTTAGACCTTGAGATATGCAGAGCTGGAGATATTCAGAGAGGTCGATATATAAATAGGTAGAGGTATGAATCTGCAGATATGTAGAGCTGGAGAAATCTAGAGATGTACATATATGAAGCTGGAGATATTCAGAGCTGGACATATATAGAGATGTAGGCATATGAATCAGGAGATACCTAGATCTGGACATATATAGACATGTCGACATATGAAGCTGCAGTTCTTCAAAGCTGGAGATATTCAGCGAGGTACAGATATAGAGATGTAGATCTATGAAGGTGGACACATGCAGAGGTGCAAATATATAGACAGCTAGACATATAAAGCTGGAGATATTGAGCGCTGCAGTTATTCAGAGCTGGAGCTATACAGAGTTGGAGATATTCCGAGGTGAAGATATTAATAGCTGGAGATATTCAGAGGTGGAAATATTGATAGATGGAAATATTTACACCTGGAGATATTCAGAGCTGGAGATATTCAGAGAGGTAGATACATAGAGATGAAGATATATGAAGCTAGATATATACAGAGCTGAAGATATACTGACCTGGACATATATATACAGGTAGATATATGAAGCTGGAGCTCTTCAAAGATGGAGATATGCAGACCTGGAGATATGCACAGAGGTAGATACAAAGAGATGTAGATATATGAAGCTGTAGATAAACACAGCTGAAGATATACCGAGCTGGATATATATACACAATATATATATATATACACACACAAAGACAATACACACACACTATATATATATACACATATACACACACACACACACACACACACACACAC